TCCCTTCAAAAAAGTATTTTCCCTGCCTGCCTGCATTGGCACACAATATGCATAGCTATGCAAATATAAAATTTCAGTGTTTATGTCTCCAAACCATTGAGCTTTGATCTGCTAGGTGTGAACATCCCTCTGGAAGTCTCATCACCCTCTTTGACTGGTTATCATACAAGAGTATAAAGCTATATCTACATCAAACATCATAACTCATGCAAACTTACAAATAACAACATTAGATATTAGTTAATCTTTAGTTGTTTATAGACACCAGGCACTGTATCAGTACACCTAATTCAGGAAGACATACAGGACGTTCCACAAGCTCTTCAAAATATAGTGGGTTCACGACATTATGTATAGATTAAATTTTGCACGTAATTTTAGAATAAAGCAGTTACATTCTGTCTACTTCTGACTTCCTTTCATATCGTTCAGTAGCTGGAAACAAGAAGAAAAGTCCGTACCCTACTGCCAGCCAATATTCCATAGACTCATCATGCTTTTCTAACCCCTGACTTAAAACACCAGGATCACATCCCAGTGTAAATGAGCCTAGGCAATGGATCACTGAAGCCAGTTGATCTATGATGATTCAGAGCAAATGAAAACTTGACCCAATATACGTTAATTGAACAGTTTCTCAGGTTTTTTTGCATCCTACTTCACTGTTTCCTGCTATTTTCCCCAAAGAGTGTTAACCTTTTCCCCCCATAACAGTACTGATCGTTTGTCCTTGCATATATGGAGCTCACTTCATTCACTTCAGCTTATATATAGTATTGAAACTAAGACTGCGTAACTGAGGCACCAGCCCCATGCATCCATTTAAAAAGAGGGCTCAAGAATGACAACTGCTGCCCCTGCTGCCCAGAGCACAGAACCCGGTTGTTATACCTCCATTTATACAACTCTGTTCTGTGAATGCTCTCTTCTAATTAAGCTAAACTAGAGGGACATAACAAAGTACTATTCTCCTCCTGATACCTAGGAGGTTATTCGATGCATTCTGATAGTTTCCTTGAGAATATATAGAGATGGGTAGGGAAAACTTTTTCTATCCCATTAGTATTTTTAAAAATGTTCCCATTCAACTTTAGCATAAATCTTTATGCAAAATATAAAGATCCACCCCAGAGTACAGATGTGGGTAGTGCACCCGAGAGGCATAACGATGTGGCGCCTGTAGCAGCAGTGGTATACAGGGCAGAGTTTATCACTTAACAAAAAAGCTTAAGTTTTCCTAAATTGCTGGAACATTTCAGAATCATAAAAATATTTTCGAAAAAAGGAACAATGTCATGTATATATAAATGTGTGTATACATACACATATATTACAGTATTTACTTTAATATAAGACAACCCTGATTATAAGATACTCCCCCAATAATTAGATTCTATGTATGGAAAATTTATAAATTAGTTATAATTTTCCAGGTATAGAACCAAATTATTGTGTGTTTGAATTTGTCCCTATCCCACTGCTACAGCAGGGAAAATAAATGTAGTTCCATGGCCCTCTGCCTCCCCCCAATTTCTTCCCCCTAAGGCCCTTCCTCGCCCCCCACCCCTTCCTTACTGTCAGACCCTGCTCTCCCTGAGCACATGGAAATGAGGAGCAAATTTAGAACACTGACTTCAAAATAAACATAGCTATAGTAATTTGCACACAGTACCTACAGATTTAGTTCATCTAGAATTGATGCATTTTACCTTTCTTGAAACTGCTGTAACTTTTAGCACAGGTACTCCATAAACAGACTTTTAAACAGCACTTTGGTATCTACTTACATACAGTACAAACTGGCTGCATCTACACAAGATACTACTGTGCAGTGGTTACTGCACATTTATTTAGTGCTTGTTTATCATGTATATAAACAAGTACTAAATAAATGTGCAGTAACCTGAATTACTGTGCAGTAGCACCAGCAAATGCCTTCTTTTGTGATGCTAATGCACAGTAGTCCGTTACTACTGCACAGTAGCATTGCATCACGGTTTTTGCCACATGATGCTATTGTGCAGTAGTACCGGGCTATTGAGCAGTCAGCATCTCATGTAGATGTGGCCACTATGCATGGTATTAGTCCAAAACCCAAAGGCTCATGATTAACCATATGGTTCATTGGGCTGGCACCAGAAGTCAAAAACATTTCAAGTAAGTCCACAGCTCAACACTACTCAGTATGTGTATGTACTCCAGATACCTCCCCACCAGGGATTTATGTGCTAATTAGTCTCCCACTCATGACTGGAACTGGGTGTTCTTGTCATGAGTCCTAGAATGCTCCAAAAATTTATATAAGGTACAGGGCAACTTGGTCCGGCTTCACCTCATGGAGGGCAGGGCCACACTAATCATATATGTGACAGGGTGAGAGAGGGGTCAACAAGGGGATTGTGGGTGAACTGTTTGGTAATGTTTGCCAGACATTTAAGGCTGGTGAAGAAACAGAAATCACTGGAAATGGGAAAGAAAAGTGCAGCTCAGCGGGAGTGAAGAGGAAGTCACAATATGTACCATGTTGTGGCTCACAGTGACTTTTAAAAGAGTCAACACTGAGTAGGATTGCACTCAATGGACTCTACCATATACAGGTTTCTCTCCCTTTATGTGGGTTCTGTGTGTGTAAAAGGGCAGTGGGTGGGTGCGCAGGGGAGTGGGTGTGTTTATTGTAACAGGTGCATGGTTTCTTAATGTGGGTTTAAGGTGTGTGATGGAAAGTTTTATGCTAGATGATGTATATATATTTTTTTAAAGAAATATATATTTCTTTAAAAAAAATGTGAATTTGCTCTTATGCAATGACCCTTCTTATACCCAAAATTAATTATATGCAAAGTAAATTCACTCTTACGCAATCAGTGTGGTGGAAGCCCACAGTCAGCTGCTTTGTGCGGTGCATTGTGGGAGTGACATGCACCAAAATAGTCTCCCTGTTGATCTGTGCTCCTTGCTCATTGTCTGTGACACGTGTTTCTGTAGTTGCCATCTCCAATATGATAGTGCCCTGTGCTTGTGTGTATTGTCTGCTGTTTGTGAGTACCAAAATTGTCTAGTATAAGTGGTAGAAATGGGTCTGGTGGTCAGAAAAGTCAAGGTCTTGGAACATATCCCTATTTGTTACATTGTAAAGTGAGTTCCCTTTATGCAAATTTGAGTTATGTGCCGTTTTCCAAGAACACATGAGCAGCATAAAGCGAGGGAAATAAATAAATAGATCGGCTGCATTATCCTATTTGTGTGGCAGGCTCTCACCAGTGTTTTGGTGCCAGGAGAGAGTGCTAGAACTTGCTCCAGCCTCTCCGAGTGCTGGCCTGATATTGCAGTACTTCCAGACCCGGTGCTTGTTCCCTCCTTAAGAGCAACCCCAATCCCATTTTAAGAGCAACAACAACAACAAAAAGTTCTAATCAACATCTTGGGCTTTTTGGCTAGGATCAAATGCATTTTTGGCACCAAGAGGAGGGTGTCAGGCCTGGTTCTGGCTCTCCCATGCTTTATAGTCATGCTCAGCATTGGCTTTACTTAAACAACTTTAGTTAGTTTCCATTACTGAACCCATGCTGCTTTTGGCAACAGTATAATGATACATAATGTATTTAATTAGGTTTTGTTGCATACAATTGTAAGATGAGGCGCTCTGATTGGGCAAAAAAATCTTGTCTTGTATTCAGGTAAATATAGTACATATAAGCTGTAGGACTTTCAGACATACACACGAATTAGAGTACCTTCTTTAAAGTAACAGCAGTGTCTGGAGCTGTGACTCTGCATGGTATGATCATTTCTCTTCCATCAATCATGTGTATAATTTTAGGTATGTCACTGTGCAGCTCTACAAATGGACTTCCTGTATCTACATAAGAAGGATAAAAAGAAGCAGTTAAACATAAACATTAAAATGCTATGGAAAAATGTAAAGAAAATTTAAACAGGATCTACATACAGATTACTACAACAACTAGAAGATTCTACTCAGTTATCTAAAGTATCTATGGAAAATGCTTACCAGGGGACCATATCTCATTTAAACAGGTCTGGTAAAACATTATTTGGGTATTGTTGAAAGATACATTTATCATCCATTTATAATCACTACAGAGCATTTCTTTATATAAAGAGTTGGCATTATCTTTCATACATAGATAGGCTCCAACAGATATTTTTCTGGTTAGTGTTTTTCATATAGGGCTAGAACATAAATTAAAAAGTGTGCTTCCATTCATTTATTCTTTGCTATCACTGGGAGAAGTAATTAGCTTAGTTGGATCTAGAAGCCACTTATCAAGGGACACCACTTTCTAAAATCTTTTTCTACTCCTCTGGGAGTAAGTGGCAAACCCATACCAAATTTCAGAAGCCCTAGCATTGGGATCTTAATATGATCATTCAGACAGATATGGAAGTACTCTTGGAATATGGATTAGTCAGCAGTAACCATTTCTTTCCTTCCACTTCTACAATACTTACATGTCTCCTGTGTAAGCAACAAGTCCAAATGCTAAAGAAACTTTTATTTCATTTAACTCAAGAATGAAGTCTTGAGAGTACAATTTATTGTACGCTTAAACAATCATCTTTTTGTCAAAGGACACTGACATAAAAAGCTCATATTTGGGGGGAAAAGGAACATTATTGCTACTTTTGCAAATGTTTTTTGTTTGCTTTCATTAATATAAATAGACTCAAACTACAAATTGTGGATACGAATCCTTTCTTGGTTCTGATCTGAAAAGTTGGTTTGACTCATTGTAAAGAGAGAAGTTATTTGCATTCATAAACAGATCCTCTTTAAATACATTCCTTTTGCTTCCCTTTCAGTTAACAGCATGTTGTAATAAAAGTGGAGCATTTACAGTCCTCATTTCTCATTAAGCTATGCAATAGAAGTATATCTTAGGTGTTTAGTAGTGGGGGAGGCAAATCCTACCCTTATTTCTACTGGAGAAAATTAGAAGTTAAGAGTTACATTAAAATTTACCCCAACGTAAAGGGGAAAACACAAAGTTTGTGGAGATTTGATAGATAAAATGAAATTGTCACAAAAGCATTTATAGGTAAATGCATCACAGTACTTTATTAATTTAAAAACGATTGAGCTTGTAAAAGGAACTTATGAGTAATAGAGGATGCATGTGTAATAAAAATACCCTATGGATTTCTTAGTCTAATGTTTCCTTTACAATAGGATTCAAGAGAAGACTAAGAATGAACCTGCTTGCAGTACTTTAAAGAAACATTTTTGTTTTGCAAGAGCTGCAGTTATGGAAGAGGTCATTAGCCCTTTAACATCAGCAGAGTTAACAGACTTACTACTCCCCTAAGGCTCATTCATCCTTGACACAAAATTAAGAGCTGCTTTCCAAAGCCAGCAAACTTTGCAGAGTTGTTTCCTGTATCATAACCTAGTGATCATTATATCATGACAAGTGTGAGGAAGAGCTGCTCTGAAGACTACCGGTACTGTCTGCAGACACAGTGTCACCACTAACTGATGCCAACATTGCAGGAGTGGGGCTGAGATGTCTTAGCCTCAGGGGACCCCTGCCCATCTAAATGAGGTGACAGGAAACCAGTCTAAAATGCAAACAACATTTTTTTTCTTTTATTCTAAATGATGTGCATGCTGCCATTCACAGTGGAGGAAACAGTCAAGCATTAAAATCTCTTTCATAAGGTTCCTTGACTCAGTCCAGTCATTACATTGGAGCAGCTCTTCCTCTATATATCTGAATTACAGTTGCACAGTATGGCATTTAGACATAAAAAGTCATTTATGCCTACGTCTCAATTCTCATGCAGAATTCCCATTGACATCACTAGGGAGTTCCGCCACAGAGCGAGGGCAATATATGTCCTCGAGTGCTCCAAATGTCTTCCTGCTTTTGATTAAAAGGAATATGCATCATGCTTCCTAGTGCAGTTTTGTTTTCATAATTACTTTGGAGGCTTTTCCTGACTCCTTTTGATTTTATTCTCCTTCCTTCTTACTGCTCATAAGGGGATACAGTCATTACTCCAGAACTAGGAGCTGGTGCTGGTTCTTTCTTGGCAAAGATAGGCCATAGCCATCACCTGCACAATTACATTCATGACACAGAACTTTTCTGCCCCACACAATACTTTTTGTTCCCTTCTTTCTCCTCTTCCTCCACTGCTGACAGCTACCTATGGCTAGCAGTTACTGCTATGTTTCCCTTCTGATCACTGGAGAAAAATAATTCTTTCCTGAGATGATGTAAATGCCAGTCTTCCTTAATCAGTTGGCTAGGACTAGGAGTGCAGCTAAAATTACCTGACTTCCTGCCCCTGGTTTTCTGAGCCAACTCCACCTTTTGAGGTTGATTCACCATTCCAGTGTTATGCTAGTGTAGTTTTATGTTACATATGCAGAGGTCCTGGTTTTTTCTGTTGGAAAAAAATCCCCCATTTTCATTTAAAAATAATAATCCCAATCCACATTTTTCTACAAGTGGTGTTTCATTTTAAATCACAGAAAATGTGGATTTGGGGTTACTTTTTCTTAACTGAAAATTGGGGATATTTTTCATCAGAGAAAACCAGGATCCCTGGTTATATTTAAAATCCGAGAAAACCAGTAGTGAATCAGGCCCTTAACAGAATATGGCAGGGTCTGTTTTTGACTTTGAGCACAATATTTTATCTTTATAGAAGAGGATTTTCACCTCTGCTGAAGACAGATATGCTAAGTTGCTTTGGTTTTAAACATTTAAGTTCTGCAGTGAATTGATTGTGTTTATTCTTTCCTGAACAACACTCTGCAACTAAAGAAAAAAATAAAACCTGAATATTTACATACGATAAAGGTTCCTACATTCTGAACAGTGTATTTTAGAACAATAATTGTGTCTGCAGCTAGTGACCCTGTACTAGGTTTTAGCTATGTTACTCTCAATATTTTTCACTCACGATCAACATGAAACCACAAAAAATATTCAGTCACAAAACCCACGAAGGTCATTTCCTACATTGTCTGTGAACATATATAGCAACTATTTTATTCAGTTGGTTAGCAGCCACATTTAAATATGTAAAAAACTTAATTCAGGAAAATATCATGTCTGATATCAGTAACCAATCTGTGGTATTTATATATCTTGCACAAGCAATTTGATTATCTCACACACATCTTCCCAAAAATGAGCAAGTAGCCTCATTTTTATACATAAATTCTTTAACTGCAAATCAGAACAAACAAATTAAAATGTCAGAAGTGAAGTCCATGGATGAAAGAGTCATTGAAGTCTATGGAAGTCTGGCCACTGACCAGTAGGGTCAGGATATTTATTTTTATATTGGGCTCATCACCAAGGCAGCTCAGCCAAAGGTTTTCCTATATTCAAGGCATTCTTCTTCTCTCATTTACAAGGACGTTTAAATTGTGTTCTTAGAGATATGTAACTTGATTAAGGTAACTTGATTAAGGTAAGTGGACTAATTTCATATTTCTGTTATATAATGCAACCCCATTAATCCCACTCTCACCTATACAATGAAGTCACTTGACTTTCTCTGGTGCTACTAAAAGGTGAGTCTGGTACAATAAAAGTGGACTGTGAACATCTAGGGGCAGAATTTGGCCTTAAGTTGTTAAATTCTATCCAGAAAACTCTACAATCCTTGTCTCACTTCTTAGTCTATGAAGAAATGCTGTACCAGGGATAATAACTTTTAAACAATGAAGAATGAATGGTATTGATATGCAAATTAACAATCTCAAATTCAGGGCAAAAATAATTTTGACAAGCAAAAAAGTGCAGAGGGGGGTGAATAAATATGCAAAGTTAAGATAGAAAGTCCTGCTAGCAGAACTTTAGGACAGTTTCATTTTGATAAATTTGCCAAGGGGATGATGTTATAGCATTCTTAAGAGAAAACATTTTCACCCACAATAGTCAAGGCAGCTAGTGACAGTTTGGAAAGTTATTGCTAGAACAGTTTCAGGTAGCTTTAGGTACTCATTCTCACAAATGCCATCCCATAACTGATTTCTGGAATTTGCTATTTATTATTCTAATGTGTTATTTCTTTGCACATTATCATCATCAATGTGCTGATGTACAGAGGCTGCAGTCAAAGATCAGGGTCCCATTGTGTGAACCACTGTATAAACAATGATGAAAAGACAGTCACTGATTTCAAAGACCTTGAAATCTAAATCCCTGATACTGCACATGCTTAACTGTACACATGGTGGCACATCCAGTGGAATTATTCACTATGAGAAGTGTTAAGTACCTCCATCTGCAGAAATAGAAATTATATGTTATTTATTTCAGTATTTTCCCAAGGTCTCTGTTTTGTAACACAAACTTTTTTATGCATGAAAAATATGTTCATCTACTGCATAGCCTAGTTTGGTTTCAGCTAGTTTTCGTTTAATCACATCAGTATAATATGACTTAGTGGGATGATCTGCTAGCCAAAAATGCTGCTCCTATGATAACACTGTGCCAAATAGCAAAGACAGGTCATGACAGGGATAAGAAAGATAGAAAACCACCCAGACTGCGGATATTAGGACAGACTATTCCACTGCCAGGTTATTACTGAATTAAAAAAAACCCCAGCCAAATCTTTTGTTGACTTTCAGAGTATTTTTTTATTTTAAGCCAAACCTCCATCATCAGCTGAATTTTTCTGACATTGATGCTTCTGATCTTTAAAACCAGTTTTCAGGGAATTGTTTTTAGATCCTCTTCCTGTTCTGAGGCATAACATTGTGTAGTTTTGCCACTAAATCCATTCAAGTTAGAGCTTTAATTCATTTTAACAGCAAGGCCAGATGCAGAAAGCTGTCAACTGGAACTCCCAGTGATGTCAATGGGACTTCCA